AATCTTCGAATTGGATCTGGCTTATTATTTTTTGCAGACTGTTAGAGCAATTTTATAAAAGTAAGCTTGAACTTTTGATTATGTCAAATAGAATTTCTGATGCTGGAGCTCCCAAAGGATCTACAAAGGTATGAAAGCAAAAGTATGTTTCGATGTCCATCAAACAAAAAGTGGAATTGCTGCAAAAAATGGATAAAGGCATATCCTTTGTTTCTCTAACCATTCCGAAATCTGTTTATCAATTTCATGCTGCTCTGCGGCGGGGAAGGGGGAGCAAATGCTGCGGTGCGCAATGAACTGGAAGTTGATCTGTCAGCACTATCCTTATCTTCAGGGCAGATATTTTTATTTTATTTGGCTTTTAATTCCTTACTAAATGTAGTATTTCATCTCTATGTACTATGTCTTTGACTTTGATATGATTTAAATCAAATTCCTCGTCATACAGTTCGCTTCCGATAGTGAAGAAAGTGACACAGAGGTTATTGAAAAGGAAAAAGTTTCGATTGACAAATTAGTCAGTATTCTCGACACAGCAATTATAGGACTTGAACAGCGGAACTTTGTAACTGAACAAGAAATTATGTCTGTTTATAGAATTAAAGAGAAAGTATTATCACATAAAACGAAGCAACTTAAATAACTTACATTGAAAGAAGTGTTTAATAAAGTAAACATAGAAATATTAAGCTTTTTTTTGTAAATTTTGATACCCTTTAGATCATAATTGTTCTTTATTTCATAAATTACAGTTTCACATTTTCAATTTTATAATTTCTGCATGCCATCTTACCAGATTTAAACTGATGATGTATAATCCGGAAAAATTGATAATCCGGAATCGCCGAAGTCCCGACGAGTCCGGATTAATGACTTTTGACTGTATACACATACATACAATATATGGATACAAACATATATTTCTTAATCGGATCCGAAAAATAGAAGGGTACCTAAATTTATAATAAATGATACACAGTGAGTTTATTTTAAAACAGGAGGAAACAAAATCATTATTCCAGTCTTATATTTGCATTATTTGAATTCATTATTCAGTTTAAACTAAGCAGGTCCATTGTTACAGTTGTTCTAGGTATGCTCTACTCCCACCCACTCTTTAATGTCCCTCTAAAATAAGGGTATTAATAAATAGAACTGAACAGTATAGTTAAATAATAGAAATAAAAGGTTTATATAAGGATTTTGTTTCCTTTCTTAAAATAAACACACTGTATAATTAAATTGCTTACCTCTACAAATAATAATTTTAACTAAAACTGAAAATATATTAGTTTTATAATACACGTTGTGATATACTTTGATAAAAGACTGCTGCACGCACATTGCATTTGCCTTTCATGTTGCTTGATTCTGTACATTTCATATTTCAAGCATATATGTACTTAGATAAATCAAAGGTTACTGATGTCATCTAATATTATGTAAACATTTGTAGAAATAAACATTGAAATAAATTCTTGGATTAAATATCCTCATTCTCTATCCATAACAAGTCTCTTCCAATAAACAGAAAGTTATCCCTGTTTAACATACTTGTCTTTCATTTAACTGCAGCTGAAAAAGGCGGCTCTACTCTTATATACGCCCTAAGATCACCAAACGTGGCGATATGTGTTCTGCGCTAGTTTTTAGCGCAATTGCGTATTGTATGGCAACCCTTTTGACGTTGAAAACTCTTTTGCTGGAGTGGTTTAATTGCTATTTGGTTTGTGTCGTGAAAGTTTTGAAATGGCCTATGTTGCAATGAGAGACGTGGAGACAAGATTTCAGTCGTGTATTTTAGATTGTGTGCAAAGTAAATTTAGTATTAAAAGATATGATGTTGGAGTTGTTAACCAGTCTTTTGTTAATGGGTGTGTTATGGGGATCAAAGTGTATTTTTGGAATTTCTGTGGGAGCCAGGACTTTTAAAACAGAATTCGGCGTGTCCAAAATGCAGAACTGATATAAGAACTTGGATGAAGAATGGTGTTTCTGATAGACTTGCATGGGTTTGCAGTCAAATGGTTGCTGGTAAAGTATGTGGCTGTCAGCAGAGTTTAAGATTTGGATCGTGGTTTTTGTGCAGTAAGTTAACTTTGGAGGAAGTTTTTACGTTACTTTCGAAATTTTGAATCGCAGAAAGACGTGTGATATAGCAAAATTGTGGCACTTTTGTTCACAGACGTTGTGTGACTGGCAAAATTTTATTTACGAATGTATGCTGGACTTTGTATGCTCTGTGTCTCAGATGATAGGGGGAAAAGATAATGTGGTGAAGTTGAGTCGAAGTTCGGCAATATCATCATGGCCATCCTGTTGAGGGACAGTGGGTATTTGGAGGTGTGGAATGAGGGTCTGGGAGAGTATTTTTAGTGGCTGTACATGATAGAAGTAAGGAAATGCTGATTCAGTGTATAAAAGAGCGGATTGAGGTACAACTATTTTTTTGCATGGCAGGAAATCTTACAAGGATTTAGGAAAAGAAGATTTTGTGAGCCATAATATTTATTTTGTGGACAGCAAGTCTGGCTGTCATATAAATACCATAGAAAGTACGTGGGGGCATGTTAAAGCTATGTTGCCTAGTTATAATCGGAAATGGGATTTTGAGTTTTATTTGGTGGTCTATATGTTTTTCCATTGCTGTTCTGAAACTGGAGAAGATCCTTTCAACAAATTTATAGAAATTATAAGAACTGTTGAATGGGAGAAATTAAAAATTTTTTTGTAGAATATTTGAAGAAAGTGTTCGTGTTTTTATTGTTTTGGTAAATTTTGAAATTGATATTTCCGCTTTCCGAAGAAGTTTTCATTATGGTAAGTGCATTTTATTTTATTGATCTTATTTTATAGAATGTTACTATGAATTTCTGTTGTTATTGTTGTTTTTAAATTGTTTGTAATTTTTTTTAAAGTTTATTTTGTTGATTTGTGCCTAGCTTATGCAATTCTTAGATGTTTTTTTTAACCGTTTGACTGCTACGCGGTGCAAAAGCACTGCGTTCATTTCATCGAAAACCCCGACGCAGTTAGTTATTTTAGAATGCACTCATGTTACAAAGTACGCGTAAGGTCAGACTACATACATTCACACCCACGAAGCAATAAGGACAAACTGAAACTCGCAGCAGAAAAGCGCTGCATCGCGGCTTTCGAGACAAATGAACGCAGTGATTTTGCGATGCGCAGCAGTCAAACGGTTAAGTTAAAGGGGTTACATGGGTTTCACGGGTTCAAAAAAATCAATATTTTTTTGGGCTTATTAAAATCTACAACATCTCTTGAATATTGTCCGAAAATTTCAAGTTGATCCGAGTAATAGTTTCGGGATACAGCCTTTTGAAGTCAGATGATGTTTTGACTGCAATGAAACCTACTTACGAAGATCTGAGTAAGGATGAGCTTTTGGAGCGATGTGTTGGTGGTTTTACACAAAATAGCAACGAAAGTTACAAACAGTTGATCTGGAAAATTACTCCAAAAATACTTCTAGCTGGTTCAAAGATCGTTGATATTGCTGCATTGACTGCTGCTTGCATTTTTAATGAAGGAACATCATCATTATTATTAATTATGCACTGTATGGATTTAAAACTTGGCCCAAATTCCCACAAATATGCCCGAAACATTGATGAAAACCGTATCTGCGCCACCGAGAAAAAATCTGCAAACGAGACTCGTGAAGCCAGGATCCGTCATAGACAGGAACAAAAGGAAGCCGAGGACATTGCAGCTGCAGCAGGTTCATGGCCCAGGAATCGATGATTCAATGTAAGTCAAAAAAAAAAAAAAATTTTTTTTTCTTCCTGTTTTATGGTCACTCAAAACTTTAAATGCGTTTTTTTCTCAAAACTGTTTTTAAAGTCGGTTGTCAAGATTTCTCGAAGACTACTCCACCGATCTCAATGAAATTCTAAACAGGTCTTCGAGATACAATTTACAAGGACTTAGTTGAAGGATTTTTTTTTTTTTCCGATTACAACTACTTTTTTTTCAAAATGCCACGAAATTTTTATCGAATTTTGCATTTTTATGTAAAAACCGCTGTCAAACATTTAATTTTTATTTTTTTTCCCCTTCGTCCAATTTCTAGTTTGAAGCCTTAACTAAAACACGAATTTCTTTTTTTTCACTTCAGATGATCCTGCTAGGAGTTCTGCTGTCAACGCGAATGCACCTTTTTTCTGAGGGCTTGTCGGGAATGACGTCACAATGGCGGAGTTTTTAATATTTTTTTTCAAAAATTTCAAAAATTGTTTATTAAATATGTACCTTTAAGATAATAAAAAATTGAATTAAATATTTCATTTATTATATGAAAAAAAAATCTTGAAAATATGCCATTTTTACTCAGATGAAACCCATGAAACCCCTTAAACAGAATGGTGTGTACATGGTATTCTTTGAAATTTATTAAAGCGAGGTGTGCGTAGTTCATAGGTTCCTTCGCTGCCTAGATTGTCAATTCGTAGATGTTTTTTTAAGTTAAACATATCGCTGTGTACATGGATTCTTGTCAAATATTTCTGGTTAGAAACTTTACGTTTTTGCTACCTAAATTTTTTCTTTTTGTTTTGGATTTTTAGCTTAAATTAAGCATTCAAAACGTGGTTTTTGCACATGCGAAAACTGCATTTTTGCAGACACTTTAGGCTAAAAGTTCAAAATGTAGACAAAAAATTTGGGTAGTAATATGGCGGCATAAAGTTTCTTGCCAAAAATGTTTAACGAGAAATTTGGCGACCTGATGGCGCATATAAGAGTAGTTCCAAGAAGACATGTATGTTCAGTTGCTGAAAATGCTCCTATTAAAATAATCTGCATCGTTTAGCATTGGCTTTATTCTTTTCAAACAGTCATCTGTTATGAATATGGGTTATTGTTTTTAATTTTTTGGTTCCCATTTTAAATATTTTTTCCTAAGAATCCATTAAAAGGTATTAGTAACTTGCAATACATTAACACTTTACATATTTTAATAATATACGTTTACTAACCATCTATTTCGAGCTGATAAATCCCATATTGGAGGCTTGGATGTTTGACATGGACCTTCTGTAGCTTGCTTATGATAAGCATATAATTTCAACATCAGATTTTCAGAAGGTTGAAAAGTTCCTATGAAAGATATTTAATACAAACATTAGCTTGATTCAATACATACTTATGAAAATGAAAATTTTCAAGAGTATTTCATTAGAGAGTCATATTTGATAAAATTTTAAGATACTGGCATATAAGTGTCATTAAATGAAAATATATTATTTATTGAAGCATTAGTTATATATTAAACATAAATTAAAACTCCCAAAATTCTCAATTTTTGCAAAATCCAGCTAACTTTGCTAATGAAACATATTTATCATAAGAAGACAACACAGTTCAAATCTATATGCAAAAAAAAAAAAAAAAAAAAAAAAAAAAAAAAAAAATATTGTCAGGCATGACAAGCCTTTCTAGCTTAACATGATTTTATTAAGATTCCTCTTTAAGTTACAATTATCTATGAATTTTAATTTTCTTTTATTCACATACCTGTGAATTTCATTTAACCCTTTACATGTGTGATATTATTTTTATAATTTTTTTAACTAAAACTCTACAAACTGAATATTATGATCCTAGAGACACATAATATATAAATTAAAAAAAATCTACTCTTGCCCATTGTTCTGTGGGTGGTGGTCGCATTGTGAAACCACTGTGCGTTTAGGAGTAGTAGGAAAAAATCTTGTCTTTTTCCGTGCACGTTTCCCAATAAATGACAAAATTTACGAATTAAAAAAAAAAAAAAAAAAAAAAAAAAAAAGTATGTAAGAATTGCACGATACACAATTTATTTACATTATTTTACAAAGTAAATCATCAGAAAAATTAAAAAATAAACACTTATGTAATTTTTCTATAGCAGTGAAAATATAAGTACCTACATAAGGACATTCGGATAAGTGGATAAAAAAACTCAGTAAAATAAGAATAAAAAAAAACTGTTTTTTTTTTTTTTTTTTTTTTTTAATTTCAAGAAAAAATTTTTTTGCGACACTGTTCAAAGCCCGTTTTGTCTTTTTGGTACATGCAGAGACCCACACTGCACGTTTCACAAATGTATCTTGTTCTATGATGTTTCTTCCTTGTGCTACAAAATGTACACTGCCCTGATCTAAATTTCACTGGTATATTGCCTGCGTTATTTAGTTTCTTTTCATCTGGCATGTGAAATTTGTGTTTTTTTATGTTAATGGGCGGGGGGGCTTGGTCGTTTTGGCTTTGGTACGGATCATTTGTTTCCCATTTATACTTATTTTATTCGTATTTCGACTCAAGATATTCAGAAAAATATTTTAAATTTAAATAAAACTTTATGCGATTTCTAGTTTTAATTATAGCAAAGTATATTTACATTAAATTTAAACCACACGAAATAATTTGTAAAATCACAATACTAGCTTGGAGAGCAAGTGTGCTGAGGTCAGAGAAAAATCGCTGGAAAAGAAAGACCTTTTTACTGAGCAGTTGCATGTATTGTTTAGCAATAAAATAACACTGAGGTTTCAAAGCCCCTTATCTATATCCAGGTAAAAATAAAAATTCCTATTTGAAAAGCGAGCAAACGCCACTGTGAAGAGTAGTAGTTTCACGGCATGACCACCGACCCTCTAGAGGATTGTGACACAATGCTCTAGCAGCTCAGTGGTCGCACTCTGAAACCACAAAGCAAATGCAATACATATAGAGGAGTTTTTTTTATACATCGCCGAAGTCCCCGTGAGTCCGGATTAACGACTTTTGACTGTAGTTATCTAGGGAATGACATACCAGAATATATATATGTTAAATATTTTTGAAATTGTGGCTTGTTATTTAAATAATGACATCGTGAATTTATCGAAAATCTCATAAAATTTTTTTACTCATTCATTTATCAAAAATCTCATAAAATTCAGAAATTTTTTTACTATTTAAGATATTTTTAAAACCCTATATCATTCCCTAGATAAAAGCATGTAATTTATTATTTTCTGACTTTTTTTAATATAACTTTAATATTTTTTCATATAGAATGTTTCAAATTGTTTTAAAATTTCTTGTAAATTTAATATTTTTTTGCAGGATAATAATAGAATATATTAAATTTTGATATTGCATAATTAATCTCTGTAGATAATAAATTAGAAAATGTGTTTATAGTATACTTATACTGCTTTTTTGAAAAAAGTGCTCCGAACGTAGTTGTATACCTTAATGACAGGAACTGCTAAATGCAATCTTTGTGCTCATACATACATTACACTTTTCATGGAATACAGTCAGTCAGCAAGCATTATCAGTTTTCTGGAACTCAAAAGTATAAATAACAAAGTATTTTTCTGAAGCTGATATATGTATGGTAGAGCAGTATTTTTTTTAAATGATATATATGTAATAATAAAAGCACAAGGAAAGAAAAGACAGAACACTGTAGATGCGTGATTAGATCCATATTGAAGAAGAATTTGATTGCGTAGTATGCTAGTAATGCTAACTTGGTAACATCTAAAGAACTTGGCAGTCGAGGCAGTTTTAATTCCATTTTTATTTCCAATTGATATTTGTGGCCACAATCACTTGGCACTCTAGACGTGCCTTTCCACAGAAGATTTACATTTTTTAGATAGAAAGCAAGCCAGCGAAATCACATCTTAGCACAGTAGCGAGCAAAAGCTGATGTACGTAGTTATGAAAGATGGAAGCACGCGAAGAGAAAAGTTTTGGTTTACAATTCGGTGATTGGTTGTCAAGAGGCATCTGGTATTAACGATTACGTAAGATCGCATGATTAATTTGAATGACGCAATGCAGATACATTATTACGATTTTAGAATAGAGAGGAAGAATTAATCTTTATAATTATATTATAATTCTGATTCATACATTTTTATCTTACATATTTCCCCCCTTCAAAAAAAAAAAAAAAAAAAAAAAAAAAAAAAAAGGCGTAGCGACAGAGAAGCCTTTTTAAAGAGAAAGAGTTAAAGCACTAGCAAATAAAAAAGAAAAACATAAATCATAAAATTTTGATTCTATAAAAGTATATAATTATAAATATCAATTTTTTTAAAATAAATTTTAATTTTTAGAGTCCTATTGAATTTTTCAGCATTTCAGTCCAAAAGTCTTTTGTTTGAGAGTTCACATAATCATAATTCTTCAGGGAAGGTTCTTGATATTACAGAATCTCACAAAATAAACTTTTACACAATCATTGCTTATAATAAAATGTAATGCACATAAATATTTATGATACTTATTTCCATACTGATAAATTATAATTTAACATCATAAATAATAGGATTAAGATCTTCAGAATTTATGGTTTCACCGTTATCATCTTTCATTTACAATTCCTGATTTTACCAAACTGGAAGCCTCGCAATACTTCTAAACAAACATATCCATCACTAGGGCTGTCCTCTTGAGCTAACCAGCGTGTTCTCTGCACTGGTGGCCCAGGGTGCCTAGGCAGTTACTTGAAAAGGCCTCCGTTCCTTGCATTAAGGTAACTGGCCTTTGAGAACTGCACTAATACATTCCATAATAAAAAAATATAATAATAAAAAAATTTACATGCATTCATAAAATGAGAGCCTCCAACATTATCTTGCATGAAGAGGGTAAAAGGAACAACTGTACAGAGGTAATTACAGGCCTCTGTTGAAGGAACCAGTACACCCTCATCATACTATACTTAACACACAATAACCCATAAATTTTAACATGCATTTACCATAATTTTATATTACGTATCTGTAACAATTTCACTTATTTTTTTACACCTACTTCATTTTTAGAATAATTATAAAATTAGTATTCAAAATTCTCAACAAAATTTCAAAAACATAAAAACTTATCTTTAATATCCTTCCCTATGAATAATTTAAATAGCTTAAAATTAATTACTTAATTTGCTCACACATAATTATGAAAAATTAATGAACAAGAATTTCAGATTTTCTCAAAACAAATTGCAAAAATTTTAACAAAAGTTGAAATGAAAACTATAGAATCCGCAGCACATTAAATAATTTAGTTCCTGAGCTAGATTCACACGAATGTAATAATTTTCGAGCTGTTGAAAAAGCAGAAGTGCAAATAATTTTCTGTCGCACATACTTGCAAACACTAACTCAGATCAACCTTGAACTCGCTGTAATGCTTAATTCCTAAACGGTAATTCACTGATGATTTCCTTTTCACTAGGCATTCGAACTTCTCAATTTATCGAGATATTACTTTTAATCTGTAAACACTATGCGTGATTATTTTTTGAAGCACTTGCAAAACACCACAGCAGAAGAATGATCTGTTATTTTTTAAACACTGAAAAAACAAACTTTATGATTCACTTCTTTCACATTATCTTGGATTTATCACCAAACAATGATTTGAAGAGCAGAACTAAATTTTCCATTGAGGTTTCAGGCTGCAGGAAACTATCCTACCGTCTTAATTGTCATAATGAAAGCAAAGAAAAGGAAAAAAGACGGAGTGTCGATGCATAGTTATCCTAAATTGAAGAGGAAGTAATCTGATTGCGTTGTAAACTAATGAATGTGTTGACTTCGTAAATAAAACTTGGCAGTAGAAGCGATTTTAATTCCAGTTTTATTTCCAATTGATATTTGTGGCCACAATCACTTGGCACTCTAGTCGTGCCTTTCCACAGAAGATTTACATTTTTGAGATAGAAAGCAAGCCAGCGAAATCACATCTTAGCACAGTAGCGAGCAAAAGCTGATGTACGTAGTTATGAAAGATGGAAGCACGCGAAGAGAAAAGTTTTGGTTTACAATTCGGTGATTGGTTGTCAAGAGGCATCTGGTATTAACGGTTACGTAAGATCGCATGATTAATTTGAATGACGCAATGCAGATACGTTATTACGATTTTAGAATAGAGAGGAAGAATTAATCTTTATAATTATATTATAATTCTGATTCATACATTTTTATCTTACATATATATATATATTGTAGTGTAATGTAGTGAAAGGATTTTAATTAAAATGGATTTCATATTTACTATAATTGTAAGTTCATAGGCAATAAACAAATGCACGATTTCTTTTTTAAACATTGGTAGTTCTTTTGGTTGGTAGCTCGTGATAGGATTTAAAATTGGTACAGTAGCTCAGAAGCTCCATAACTTAAAGACTACTGCTTAAGGGCTAATAAAGGAAAGGAACAACTTTTTATTTGGCATATAGTATTTTAACCAAGACTACTGATTTCGAAAGCAGCAGGTGCAGGCCCATCATCATCAGGAGAAAAGAAATTCAATAAAAAAGAGAACTGTATTTCATTGCTGGAAATTTAATCAGAATTTGACATTGGTCTGCAAAAATTATCCAAAACACTTTTCCAGTCGATGAATTGGATTTCTTTAAAGCTTTGCCCATTCACAAAGATTTATCTTATTTAATTAATGACTAATTGTAATCTAGTTCTTCCTAATGCTTTTGAAATGATATTAACGCAATTTTTCATGTTTCATTACTATTTCTGTGAACAGATGGCACTACCTTGCTGTTCATTTTACTGCTTGACTTTTGGCATAAATATAGCTTTCATCTTTGATGACTTTATCCTTTATCAAGGTATTCCTGTGAAGTACTGTATGTTATGTCTCCCCTAACCAGGGTTATTTGAATTGACTGTAATAGCAGGGTATAATTCATGTTGAAACAGGCATATCAAAAGCATCAAAGATTATCCCCGCCCCCGATGATTAGGAACCTGTGCCTGACCTCAAAATTGATAATCTTCGTTAAAATACACACCAAACAAAAGGCTTTTGTGTTGCTCAATTTTTGTTTTTATATTGTTCTAATTATTCAAGATTTTTGTTCATATTTCACAACTTAAGCCTAGCAGGTCTGCAAAAACAGGTTCTTTTCATCAAATTTATTGGCAGCAATCTTTTATCAAAAAAGTGCGACTAGCACATCTGTTCCGAAATCACTACTTGTTCAGCAAATTATAATAACAACTCCATATCTGAAGTGAAAACAGAAAGACACTATAAATTAATGACAATTTCTGTAAAAATTTAACTATTCATCATTTTAAAGATGGTCAGAGTATTCAAAATATCTACAAAATCTTTGACATTTCAACTGTCTTTGATGCATTAAAACGATGAAACTGTTCAAACGCACTGAAGTTTAGTCTAGCTATTCCAAGCTAAGATGAAGAAAGTGGAAATTTATCCTATACAAAATCCAGATATTTGCACTAAAAAACTTGCAGTGGATTTAGGACAGTTTGCAATAAAAGCTAACTGCAAAACTGTTAGAAGGATCAGCCAACCCAATGCCTTGCCGCATCACACGTGACTATTGGTCACGCCCTTTTCACCTCCTAGTTTGTCCTCTGGACCCACCCTGAGCATTCAACTCACTGCATCGCTCGTAGTAGCAACTTATGTGATGACAGCCTCAACAAAGCGAGCAAATTTACAAGCTACTCACGACTTAAAACTGCAACTGGAGGGAGGATCATTACAGCACATGGCTACAGTATGCAATTAGCATGAAATTTTTTGTCAATAACAAAACACAGAAAATATGCCAAGTTTTCACAAAAATCCAAAATATGTAAAGACATGTCACACTGAAAGAATATTATATATGCAGACAAGTCAAAATTTAATTGATTTGGGTCTAATGGGCGAACTGCTGCACGGAAAAGCTGAATGAAAAACTGAATTTGAAAAACCCATCACCTTGGGTGAAGAAATAATGGTTTGGAGATGCTTCAACACCTCTGGGATAGGAAATTCAGTTTTTTACAGAAAATAATGTGAATCAGTATACATATATAAATATTCTTCATGAAATCCTGAATACATCTGCAAGAAAAGTTGGAATGAGAAATATGTTCAAGGTTACATCAGAGTAATGATCGTAAAAATACAGCCCTAAATAAATAATCACTAGTGGTTATTATACAACTATCTTGAAATTACCTAAATTCTCCCACATTCTTCGGACTTAAATCTTATTAAACATGTATGAACTGAGTTGCAGAAAAGAATAAGAAAACTAGACATTTCTTTGGAAGGTCTACTAAAAGCAATTATTATGAAGGAATAAAACATTGTTAAGCAAAAAATTTCGTTGAATGCATGGCAGAGAGAATGAAAAGTGTACTTTTAGTTACAACATAATACTGAATGTATGTTATTTTCATCTTTTTATTAAATATGAACAGAAAATCATATTTCAAAGTGTTTGAAAACTGATGCGAGTTCAGTTTCAGAAATTTCTGAATAAACTCTTTTTTAATAACAGAAAACATTTTGAGTAATTTTTCTTCAAAACAACCATGTTTTAAAAATGAGGATCAATAATAAACGTGGAAGAACATTAAAGTTATTTGGAAGCACTTCCGCAGAGAACCCGGTAAATGTAAACATCGCCAACTTTGGCGATAATAGTTCAAACCTGGTAACTCAGCCGATTTATCGTTTTCGCTTTTTCGAAGTTTGCAACCATTTCTCTTGCGTTCATTTTGTTGAGATATCACTGTTGTTGTTCGCATTTGCAGATTTACATTATTCTTCTCTTATTTATTATTATTTTTTCTGAAATTTTAACAACGAATAGATAGAAATATTTTCGTAGATAGAGACCAGTTCTCGGTTCGGGATGAAAGGAAGAAAATACGGCGGGAGGGGTGAATGCTAATTTGTAACACAGCTGTTTACGTTGTGTTCTTAATTATTAACAGCGCTAAGAAACATGAGGTTTCCAACCTCTAAAATAAGTCAAAATGTGCATGATGTGCATTTAAATAATTAAGTAATGCTTTTATTTTTATTATTGGTCATTGTCATCTAAAATTATGAGCATAAATCAATTTTTATGGCTTAAAATTTTAACAAGATTATATATTGTTAATGCTTTTCTAACAATAACCTTTCAGAGGATGGCAGGTGTGACATAAATACATGATTAAATTGAAATAAAAAAATATTATTGACTACCTAAGATGACAGAATAGTTTGATGCATCAAAATTGTTATTGTTTTCTGTGTTAACTGGAATTTAAGACAATTTTTTTTTTTTCGTATATCACGTTTAACCGGTTAATTTCAGTATATTAATAATAATTTGATATTTTTTAAATGAATTTTTATTTCCGTTATAAAAGCTTAATATATTCTTTTCTGTACTAACTTGAATTTAATACAAATTTATTTTCGTATATCACATTTAACCGTTAGTTTTACATCTACATGCTTATTATCTGTAAATTTTTACTACCATATGCTTAATATATTGTTTTGCTTGCTAATTTCAACTTACATGCACTAAAAATCACGTTTACGGCTCGGCACATCGTCGATGAACCGCGAGCTTGGCGAGTAAAAATGCAACGGCGCCAACGGATTCTTTCCCTAAGCGCCAACGGGTTCTCTGCGGATGAAAACCCAGTTATTTCACTAATATTTTCAAATAAAGTACAAAAACACAAGTGTTCGAAAACAGACGTGAGCCGCTGCAATTAGCTCTTACGGCGAGCGCGAGTTCATTACTGAGCGTCTGTAATTCACATACATACAAGGAATTATTAGAGTTGTAGCGACTCCCTTTAAGCATAATATTATGTAAACAAAAACGAGTTCGTCTTGATGATGTAACCTAACGTCTTCTTTTATTACTGTGAGTTAAATTATGCTTAATCCATTCTGGAATTATTATTTAAGTTATAAAATTATTTCATGCAATGACTCAGTACAGCGTTCAGAGCAGAGTAATAGACACCGTTCACGAAAGTCTCTCTTACCATTTAGAGGGAGACTATGAATTATTTCAACAGCTGCTAAAAACTTATCTTTCGTTGTCATTCTTTTCTAGTTTTAAGTACAAGCGCATGTAAAAGTATGAAATACAAGTACACTGTTTCCGGAACTATTCGCCTTGCGCACGTCTGCAGCAGAAGCAAAGAATCTCTAAGGAGATTCCTTACAGATTCTTTGCCAGAAGTGGGCTTTCAATTTTCACGCAACAGAACAATGCATATGCGCATGCTCGGATACTTTCGCCTCGGTCGGAGATTACATTCTAAGATAAAATAATAGCGCAGCAAAATGAGACTATAAAATATAGAAGTACACTTCGAAGCAAGAACTTTATTCTTATAAATTTTTATTAAATTTCCAAATGATAAATGTTGTCAAGAAGTTTTGACAACAATATAAAGCATTTCTTTTTTTTCATATTTCTGCATATTTATAATAAAAAATAAGAAACTTCTAAACTTCTAATTTAAATGAAGGGCTCTTTATTAAGAATGAAGCTTCTTTCGTTTTAAAAGTAAGAAAACTGAGCTCTAATTTATTGAAAAGATATAGTGCACAGTATAAGAACAACTCAACTCAGCAGCTGTTCTAAAACGTGTTTTCTTAAATAGGGTGCTGAAATCCGAATATCTTTAATGTTCATTAAATTTGAGCTAATATTGAAAGTTAATTTAGCTCTCATTTTTTATTGTAAAAATGGTTGTGAATATTAAATCTTTCTCTAAAAATCGGAAAAGGAAAAATGGAAAATCAAACGCTAAAAGTAATTCTAAACAAAAATTTCGACATAACAGAAAGAAATACAAAAAATTAAATAAAGCGGATGCAGACAATGACCAGAAAATTATGAAAAGTACTTATGAGAGTGATGTCAAATCGTCTGCGTCAAGTGATTCGGAAGAAGATTATGAGAAGAAACCAAGATTTCAAAAGGCGGTCAAAGTAAGAAATTTGCTTCCTATTAAAAGTAAACAAGGATTAATGTTTCGATCTGAAATAGTTCAAGAGAACGACGAAGAAAATTCCGATACTCCAAGTAATCTGCCGGTTAATAAGAAACTGTCTTTAGTTGAACAATACGCAGTGCAACGAAATATTCTTGAAAATTTAAAACGTAAGGTAGCCATTTTATGTACTTCGATTGTTGAAGATCCAGAAAGTAATATTGTTGCTTTAAAGGAACTTGTCATCATGTTCCAAGATACTACGACTCAAATGATTTTAAGGGAGAAAAAAGTTTTAGCCTTATCATTGCTGCATGTCTTTTCAGATATTATTCCAGGGTACAGAATTAGAGTGCAGGAAGAAAAAAATCCCAAAGTTAAATTAAAGAAAGAAACTAAAAAATTGTTAGGTTTTGAGCAAGCTCTTTTGCGCTCATATAAAAAGTACCTTGACATCCTGTACGAAAGGATTCGAGAAATGAAAAGTATTCAGAAAAAGTCTAACATTTCAGTAAGTAAAGGCAAGGTGATACGAGAAATTGGCTTGATCTCTGTTCGGTGTATGTGTGAATTGCTTAGTACTAAGTTTCATTTCAATTATTTTAAAAATATTGCAAACAAATTAGTACCACTTGTTGCTGATTGTGATGAGAAAGTAACTAACATCTGTTGCCAATCATTTGAGAGACTATTTAGAGCTGATAAATTGGGTGAAGCTTCATTTGAATTAGTTAAGCAAATTGTAAATGTTATTAAGCAGAGGAAGTTTTGTGTGCCAGTAATATTACTAAGAACTTTCTTAAGCTTAAATCTAAAGGAAGCAAAAGTTGAGATTGACAAAATAGACATGAACAAGGGAAGAAAAGAATGGCGTATGATGTCCCGAACTGAGCGTCAAAACAAGAAGAAAATTAAGGAACTTGAAGCAGAGTTAAAAGAAGCTCAAGCATATGAATGTGAAGAAAATGTAAAAAAATTTCATACAGCAACATTGAATAAAATATTTTGGGTCTACTTTCACATTCTTAAAGATGGTGACAAACCTGAACTTGTGGCTCCAGCTCTTGAGGGTTTATCAAAATTTGCTTTTTTGATTAATTTAGAATTTTTTGATGACTTGAATTCCGTGTTATGTGGCATGATGGAGAGTGGAAAACTGAGTGATGTAGAAAAGCTGCATGGAGTCTATACATTATTTACAATTTTGGCAGGACAGGCAGAGTCTCTTCATATAGATCCTCATAGGATATATTGTCATATGTATGATGGTTTGTTAAAACTGAATCACTCTACTAATGTCGAACACTTTGATCTTACTGTGAAATGTTTAGAGTATAATATTTTGAGGAAGAAAAAGAAAATATCATTCAATCGGATATTGGCTTTTGTGAAACGTGCCTGCATAGTGTCCTTACAGACACCCATTCATGGTACATTAGGTTTGTTAAGTTCAGTTAGAAACATAATTCAGAGTGTAAAGGGTAGTGATATATTATTAGATCCAGAGAGCACATGTGGTAGTGGTATTTATTTTCCGGAAATGCAAGATCCTGAACATTGCAATGCACAGTCTAGTGCTTTGTGGGAGCTTCATATCTTGAAAAAACATTACAATCCTGTCATTCAGCTGTTTGCACAGCATATTCTGCATGCATGCCCTAATCAAGGCAGACATTGCCTACCAGATAAACTTTCACAGTCACCAGAGGAAATTCTGAAGTTATTTGCTGAAGTTGGTGTGCAAAATAAAATGGACTTCCTTGAAGACAATGAGGAACCTCCAAAGAAAAAATTCAGATTTGATCCTGATATAAACAAAATTTCATATGAAGATAATATTGATTTGCATATCTCATGTGACAAACTAAAAGATATGAATTTCTTTTAAACTATGTAAATAAAAATTTATAAATTAATCTATTTTAAAATTTAGTCATACTAAACAGAAAAGTTTGTAAAATGTGTATACCACTTACATATTCTAATATTAGGAAAATTTAACCATTTATTGAATATTTTAAACTGTTCATATTAGAAAAATTAGAATTGGGTTCCCCTTCGATTAGCGGCAATTGTTTGTAAAATTTTGTCAATGAAATCTCATTTCTGGTTACCATGATAGTTTAACTTTGCTTTAGCCTCCTGATATTTTTTAAATAAAAATTAATTGATGTGTACATGGACAAATTTAAAGCAGTGTGCAATGCCTAGTCTGTGCAATTCTGGGATGTTTTTTTAAGTGAAAACAGATCGATGTGTACATGGACACAGAGTTTGTGCAATTCTTTGACTTCTTATTTTGGTTTTGTGTAGCGGCCATCTTGAAATTGTGTCTTCCTGCCATCGATCTTGGTGTCAAAAAAGAATCGCAAAAACACAAGGGGCACCCAATTGTAAACTTTTACTTAGAAAATATAATATAGGTATAAGGACACTTTTCTTCAAAGAGCAAAAAAATATTGCTCATTAAAGTAATTCAAATCATAGGCTTATCAAATTATTACCCTTATTTATTTTTTGAAACCAACATTAATATAGATGTAAATTCTGTGTGATTTTAAAGCTACAAAATGCTTATCTAGTAAATAATAAATTTTAAGAATTTTTCTGTAATTCAGAAATGTGTTGTACTGGCAGTTATTAAGTTAGAAATTCAACTTGTAAGGTTAGCAGTCTGTAAAAGAGAAACTTTTAAAAAGATCACTTTTACGGCGGATAAGCCGCGAGGAAAAATGCAACGGCGCCAACGCATTCTCTGCGGATGAAAACCCATATGGGAAAATATAACCATTAATTTTATGCAAAAATAATGCATCATATTTTCTAAAATTATAATAGCAAGAAATCATTAAAAAGTCTTCTGTATGTTCATTAAAATCTTGTTTCAATTAAAACAAAATTTATATCTAATTTTGTAATAATAAGTCTTGCATCATGTTAATGAAAGCTGCTTTAAAAATTCTAACAGCTGAAGATATTTTTAATAATAAAAAGGAGGGAGTGAAATGTTCATAATTTTTGTTTAAATTTTTAAAATTATTGTTGGCTAATCTTTAGAATATGCTGACAGGTACTTTGGAGACATTTTGGTAAGGCGATAAAGGTTACTAGCTAGGACTTTAGCAGTGTACATGGATAAAGAGTGTGCGCAGTGCCATTTTTGTGCTATTCTGGGATGTTTTTTTAAGTGAAAATAGGTCGACGTGTACATGGATACCGTGTATATGCAATTCTTAAAAACGCTGCAAGCAGTGGGCGATTCTGCACTTTGTCCCAATTTCGCACCTAATCTTCGTCATGATTAAGTACCTTTGTTCCATAAAAGTTCTAGCATAAGTGTAATTCGGCTTGCAGATTGTTGGAAAAAAATGTTGAGTAAAAAACAAAAATATGCCTTTACTTCATGAAAACAAAATGGCGTCCAAACAAAAACTAGCAGGTTGCTGTAGCAGGGTTGGTCGCCAAAAAATTGCGAAGTTACCATAATCCAAAGATTAACCTTATTGTTTATTAATTTTGCAGAGTAAAATGCTACAGAAGATTCCCATGTGATTAAGGAGAATGGATAATTTAAAATTCATGCTCTTAAAATGTTTCGGTACACTGCAACATATTCAAATTATATGCAGGAAACATGCAAGGATTGGTATTTATGAAAGCGATGATTTTTATGTACTGTTGAGATTCTGTGGTAACTTTTTTAGTAATAGAACTGAAAACTAGGAAAATTTATAATTTAAAGTTCATACTTTTCTTGAAATGGTTATTTATAAATACCTGTGATTGATTCAATATAGAGTAAAGTGCAGAATCGCCCACTGCTTGGCACGTTTTTAAGAATTGCACATACTCTGTATCCATCTACACGTCGACCTATTTTCACTTAAAAAAACATCCCAGAATTGCACAAAAATGGCATTGCGTACTTTCTTGACTTTATCCATGTACACATCGACCTATTTTCACTTAAAAAGTCAAAGAAAATTGACAAAAATCCAATTCTTCTAACTCTTGTAAAAAGCACCTAACAAATAAGTGGGCGATTCTGCACTTTAGCCTCAAAATATATGCAGAAGCCTGGAAATAATTGCTATTTAAGGATATAATTATCTTTTTTACTTGCCATAAGGGTTCATTGGTAATTTTGTTAGTAAAAGAATGCAAAATCACTAATGGCATATAGTGAAATTTCATCATAAATTGTTTGGATATATAATATCAAATACAAAGCCAAATAATTGAATATGTATAAAGTTCTGTAATCATGTAACACACTTTTAATTATTTTTTTAATTTTAAATGGCACAACTAAAATTGATTGTTGCTTTGACCATTTTTTTTTTCTTCTTTCTATTTTACCACAGTTCATATTTAATAAAAATAGTGTTTTATTAGCATCATCTGCAGTCCCCTGCCAAACCTAATCAGCGCTGTTGTACAAATGTCTAGTGAGCGTCTTTAGACAGTGACAACATTAGAGATAAATTGCCTACGGTTAACACCTAAAATGAAGTATTGACATTATGCATGCAACACTTAAAATGAAGTGTTATGTGGCATGATGGAGAGTGGAAAAGTGAGTGATGTAGAAAAGCTGCATGGAGTGTATACATTATTTACAATTTTGGCAGGACAGGCAGAGTCTCTTCATATAGATCCTCATAGGATATATTGTCATATGTATGATGGTTTGTTGAAACTTAATCACTCTGCTAATGTCGAACACTCTGATCTTACTGTGAAATGTTTAGAGTATAATATTTTGAGGAAGAAAAAGAAAATATCTTTCATTCGGATATTGGCTTTTGTGAAACGTGCCTGCATAGTGTCCTTACAGACACCCGTTCATGGTACATTAGGTTTGTTAAGTTCAGTTAGAAACATAATTCAGAGTGTAAAGGGTAGTGATATATTATTAGATCCAGAGAGCACATGTGGTAGTGGTATTTATTTTCCGAAAATGCAAGATCCTGAACATTGCAATGCACAGTCTACTGCTTTGTGGGAGCTTCATATCTTGAAAAAACATTACAATCCTGTCATTCAGCTGTTTGCACAGCATATTCTGCATGCATGCCCTAATCAAGGCGCCGTTGCATTTTTACATGAACGGCATATAAGAAAACCAAAAGAATTGCAGTTTATCTTTTAATTTTTCTCTAAATGTGCAAACATTTTGTATTTTGTTAAAACCTGCAGTCAAACATATTTATGGATGAATTCTACATATATTTATACTATAATAAAATAACATTGCAAGAGAAGTGAAATAATATACTAAAAACATTGAATATTAAATGTACTGCTTAACACCATTATCTTAAAATTAAAGACAATTTACATATCTGATAAGTGAAATATTGGGAAAATATAAAATTAAAGAGATAGTAGAATTGTAGACAAATAAATAATATTTCATTTTGATTATTTATTAACACATTAAGGGGTTAGGTGACTTAGGAATTTTAAAAAATTTAAAAGAAATTCTTTTGGTTTAACTATCTAAGAAAGCTAACCTGAAAGGACAACTGAATCGCACAGGAATTGGCTGAGGAATGACAAAGAGGACAGTTTTGCATTGCATTTTTGAATTAAAGTCTTGAAAAACTTAAAAAGTGGGAACAGCTTTTAGTATTGTTTCTTTTTTGGCGATTTTTTGATTTGGCGACAACTTCTGTCGCCAAGGTAGACCAGACTTTGAAGATCGAAAAAAAAAAAAAAAAAATGGCGGGTTGTAAACAAAACCCGATGTAGACTAAATAGCAATCCTAAAAAATAAGTTCTTGATTAGAATAAACAGTCTTTCTCTAATTTTCAACAAATTGCAAAAAACAGTTTTCTCCAATTTTCAACATTTCTAGTACTGCTATGATAAATTCTTGAAACACTGCCGTAAATAAGTTTATGGCAGTGATTATGTTATGAGTAATGAAATTTACAAAAGGTTAATATTTTAAATTGTTAGTTAATATTTATATCATAGTAGTATTTAGCTAATATTTTTAATTCACAAAAGGTTAATTTTTGTTATGAATAATGAAATTTAAAAAAGGTTAATAAGTGCATTTCAAACTAGTATATGTTACTTTAGTTTCTTAGATTCTGTTATTAACAGGAAGTAAAAAAATATTTCAAATTGAAGGAAATTAAATTCAATTATAATGAGTAAATTTTGTAGCAGTGTTAGAAATACTTTTATGAATTAAATTTTGTAAATGGTAAAAATATTAAGAAGTATGTATTTTTTTTAATCACTCAATTCATTACAAGTAATTTATGATTATAATTTAAAAGCTGAAATTAAATTATCATAATGAGTAAACTTTGTAGCAATGGTAATAATACACAACAACAATTATCATAACTGATGATTTCTCTCAAAGATTCATACAGTCGTTAGAATCCTTTAGTGAGGGAGTGATAAGCCAATGAACAGTGGTAGTTCAGGCTAGGTATATGGGAGCTTTTGTGATTTTACGTGTAATGTGAAACTGAGCCAGCTTCGCTTAAAAAGTCCTTTATGAAGGCATCCTTCTTTTGCTAGCCTGCATATATATTTATTTTCTATTCATAACTACTGTTCTCTCTTCTTATTTTTTAAATTCTAAATCTTATTTCTTAAGTGAAGAAGTGTTGCATCTATAGGTCGAAAAATATGGTCAATATGTTTTGCAAAATCCTGTTCAGTTTTGAACAGCATTTAAATAAAATAAATAATTTGTATGTGATGCAAACAAAAATGCATTACACTATTTCATGTATTTAGCTAATACACTGACTATGTGATCAATAAGTATTTGGACACCTATGCAAATGACGATATCTGCGGTCCTAAGGTAGGTCACGGACTCCACTGGTATATATCGTGTAGGAAACAGCATCGGCTTTAGTCGCATGCAAGATGCCTTGCAGTTCGGAGCTCTCTGAT